TAGAGAGTCACGAGTTCTTGTGCTGAAGAGATCTCTCTCATGTTTTCTTGCAGACCTTTCTCCCACCACTTTTGAGATGTCCCAATCCTCAGCGTTGTCTGTATAAATTTACACACATGTCAGAACATTTTTGACAGATCCAAGAAACTAACAGATCAAACTGAAAAGAGATGAACGGAATCGGAACCCTAAACCAACATATGCTCATCTGGATACGATTAAACAATATTGAATCGATAGTTCATTGAGAAATTAAAGGAAACGCCTTTTAAATTTTTTTATTTACAGTACTGTTTCTCATAAATTAGCTGTCAACGACTTTGAAATTAGATCTCGCATGTCTGAATAATAAAAGAGAAAAATGAAAAACAAAAGACCAATTACCTGAGCTGTGATGGATGATGACCGGAAGCTCTTTTTGAAGCTCTCGTTTTGAACATCTCCGACAAGGATCTGTTTTCCATGGAATTCGCTTCTAAGAGGCTTCTGCTTCAGAGATGAGAAACTTTTTTTCAAACCAAACCCAGCAAAACTCACCGGTGACACAGAGGAATCATCTACGTAGTGATTCCCACAAGCTCCGAAGAACAAACTCGTTCTGCTAATCACCTCCGCCATTAGAAAAGTATGAAATCGGTAACGAGAAAAGACCCAATTTTACCAGAAAGAAGAAGAAGAAGAAAAGAAAGTCTCACAGAGACGACGTGTCCTCTCAGCAATCTATAATCGCCAGCAAAGTTTCGCTTTTTTTTTTCTCTTCCACGAGAAAATTTATAAACAAAAATGATAAAAAGGAAAGGGAAAAGAGTAAAGGGGTTAGACATTTCTGGACGAGAAACTGTTTTCCTTTTCGTTATGCGATCCAGACCGTTCAATTCGGATTTGGTAATTTTCAGATCTGACGGTCGATTGGTGATATGAGTTGGTGTCGGTCAGAAGAAAACTCACAATGGATAAGGTTCACGACTTCTCGCGGATATATTATTTTCTCTCAAACTTGGAATCGGATATTTGTATTTTTTACCATGTTTTGTGCGAATACAAATTTTTTAAAAAATTCCAGATTTTCTTACGTCAAAATAGCAAAAAATGAATTGAAATTTTTTCATAGAATTCCATATTTACTACGTCCAAAAATGATAACCAGATATTTTTATTGTTTTTTTACTTCAACTTTCCATTGATTTTTTTAGGTGTAACGTATAACAGTATAAGTCATATATATGCATCTACTATACATTTACCTCCATTTCTGAAGAAGCTAAAAGAGACATGTTAAACCAAATGCCACGAAGACACATTTCTGAATTGTTTTATCTAAGATTTGATGACAAAAGTCTTCAAATATGGAAATCTGATGAATATTTTCAACAATTGACCCAAAAATGAAAATTTACCGATAAATCCAAACAACAACAAAAAAAAGAGAGTAAAAAGCCTCTCTATATCAATTTTCTAACAAACCAAATTAACAAGACGTATTGAATTAAAAATGAAGAACATTTGAAACCGAATATTGACGCTGCAAAAACAAATGGTTGGCCATCGCCGGCCACTTTAAATTATAGCAAGAAAAATGCTTGTCTACCAATCATCATGAAACACTTTAAAAGTGTTTTGTAATCCTTTTTAGGACTCAACCTTTTCTGTAATTTTCTTTAGTTGAATGTCGTTATGTTTGTGGAAAGAAACCACACTGATGTCACATTTGTTAGTGTTTAATTCTCAATGCAAACTATGTTTGCTATCAACTAAGCTTTTAGAAAGACGAAAATCGATCTAAAAGCTGATAGTGTTATTTGAGAAGCTAAATTTATGAATAGTAAAGTTTGATAGTGTTATTTGAGAAACTAATTTATCTATCTTTCTTATCCAGAAAAAAAATAGAAAAAGAAAAAGAAAGAAAAAAGTAAGGAACGAATGGCAGAGAAATAAAAAGGTTTATCAGCCTCGTGAACATTTGTGTTGTATAATTGAGTGTACAAAACGACATTTAGTAATTAGTAGTGATGGATAATTTTTTGGATTTGTATTTTTAAGGAAGCCATTTTGCCAACACATCACCCACGTGGGTCTCACTCTCTCCACCACATCTCTCTAAACCCTTTATTCCTTCTTGAAACCTATTCCTGTATTTACATAAAAGCCACCTATTTAACTGTAGTGTTGAAGAAAGACCTTTTTACTTTATTCTTTACAGCTATAAACCCATATATTCATGACAATAAGCACACCGTTCCAATAGAGATATTAATTTGTAGCTAAACAACAAAGTCGGAGTGTTGTTGGGAAACGAAAAAATTATCGTGGAACAAGCAATACTGTTAGTGTTGACAAAGTAGAATAAGAAAGACAAATTTAGTAGAATGTATGAAAAATGTGACATACGATTTTGATTGTTTTTTATTTGCAAAGAGTAGAGCAAAAAAAGATTCATTAGCGACCGTTTCTCCGGTTGAAATTTCAAATAAATGTTTTTCTGCAACAACAAAAAAAAGCTAAACCATCTGTTTTCCAACATGAACATCACACAAGAGCCACATTTTTTCAAAATGTTTTCTTTATTTTATTTTTGTATATGTCACAAAGTGAATGGTATCTGTTTTTTTTTTTTTCTTTTGGTTAGAATAAAAGTTCCCTTAATCACAAATCTCAAGTCGGCCAAAGCGCTGTATAATAATTTATTACAAATTAGCCCCCTGCATTTCCTTCTCAAGTCGGGCCGAAAGCACTTTAAATTTACATGTAATTTCAGTTTAGCCCCTGTATTCTGTTTCCATTTCGAGATCTCCACGAAAATGGCCACTTAATTAAAAAGTGAACAGAAGCCGATGGACAAATGTACGGTCTAACGGACACATCGCCAGATATAGCCGTTGGGGAGGAAGAAAGACAGTAACGGCTACTTTTTCCTCTTGGTTTATTATACAGCTTTTCTCATTCTTCCGCATTGATCAAATCCTTTAGTCATCAGCTTCATCACCACTCACTTCTCTCTCAAATAGACTTTCACATTCTTCTGGGCACAGAACTTTGGATCTAAGTACACACACAAAGAGGTATGTTTGTTGCTTCATTTGATTTCTCCCGTTTTTCTAGATTGTCTCTGATTTAAGTAAAATCGTACATCTGTTTTGGTCAATCGAAATCTGAGACAGTACTGGATTTGATTTTTTTTTTTTTTTCAGGTGAGAAAAAAGATGAACGACCTAATGACGAAATCGTTCATGAGTTACGTTGACCTAAAAAAAGCAGCGATGAAGGATTTGGAAGCAGGACCAGACTTTGATCTCGAAATGGCAAACAAGACGGACGAGAATCTTTCTTCTTTCTTAGAAGAAGCAGAGAATGTGAAAGCTGAAATGTCACTGATCGGCGAGACGCTTTCCCGGATCGAGCAGTACAACGAAGAGAGTAAAGGTGTGCACAAGGCAGAGTCCGTGAAATCTCTGCGTCACAAGATCTCCAATGAGATTGTGTCCGGTCTAAGGAAGGCCAAATCGATCAAATCGAAGCTGGAAGAGATGGATAGAGCCAACAGAGAGATCAAAAGGCTCTCCGGAACTCCGGTTTACAGGAGTAGAATCGCCGTGACCAACGGGCTGAGGAAGAAGCTAAAGGAAGTGATGATGGAGTTTCAAGGGCTGAGACAAAGGATGATGAGTGAGTACAAGGAGACTGTTGAAAGAAGGTACTTCACTGTCACTGGAGAGTATCCAGATGAAGAGATGATTGAGAAGATCATCACTGATAACACAGGAGGGGAAGAGTTTCTCACACGAGCGATCCAGGAACACGGAAGAGGAAAGGTCCTTGAAACAGTAGTTGAGATTCAAGACAGGTATTGTCTCTTTACAAAGTATGAAACTTTTGGTTTGATATGCTTTTTTTTGCTGTTGTTGACTTGTAAGTTTTTCTTCTTTATAAAACATTGAAGGTACGATGCGGCCAAGGAGATAGAGAAGAGTCTGTTAGAGCTTCACCAGGTGTTTTTGGATATGGCTGTGATGGTTGAAGCGCAAGGTGAACAGATGGATGAGATCGAACATCATGTGATGAACGCGAGCCATTACGTGAAAGATGGTGCTAACGAGCTCAAGACCGCAAAGAATCATCAAAGAAACAGTAGAAAATGGATGTGCATTGGTATCATTGTGCTGCTCTTGATCATTCTTATTGTTGTCATCCCAATCATTACCAGTTTCACCTCTTCTTGAGATACCCATTTGTTACCACTTTTGTATTTCTTTAGCCCCAAAAAAAAGGATGTCTTAATCCTTTCGTGTTCTGTATCCAACTGTTATTGAATGAAGAATGTTTTTACAAATATATATATATTCCCTTATGTGATGAACTGAACAACAGTATGTATAACAATGATGGTTCTTCTTCGTTTACCTGACCTTCCTAATCGGCAAAGATTTTCCAAACAATTTTTCAACCTCGCTTGCTTCCATTTTGAGCTCATTCAACAACTCCATCTCTTCTTCACTTAATCCTCTTAGGAAATTCTCCTCGTCTTGTTTTAGTTCGTTAAATCCTTCAGCCAATCTCTGGAACAAGGTCATCTCTGTCTTACCGACTTTCTCCACTTCCTTCTCCACTTCCTCTTCTATCTCCTCAACCTCTTTTACGATTATCTTTTCTCCTTCTTCCACTGTCTTCTCAAATCTCTCCACCAGCGGAGGTTCAGGACCACAGGTGTTATCCGTTCTCACGAATGTGCTGAAGTCTCTGCCTATGCTTTTTGCTGCCTTTTCAAGTTCTGGTACAATGCTATTGGGTAATACTGCACTTCTCGTGTACACAACCGCACCACCATATCCATCCCAAGCATCGTTTCGCCCACGGTAGTACACAAAAATGTAGTCGTCTGGTTTATTCTCTACCTTTGATGACAGGATATACCTGCAAGAATCATATCAAAGCTCCTTAGGCCAACAAAGAGAGGCAAGCATTATCAGGGGAAAGTACAAGTTGTTGTTACCAGTCATCTTGATAGTGAAGGTACTCATTGTCATGATTGTAGAGAATAGCAGGTTGGTTAGGATCTTGCACGAATTTTTGTACAGCTGACCTTGTAAAGAATCCGCTGTCTAGGGTCTTTATTCTCCAGGAGATGTTTCCAACAAGCTTGTCACCATCTGCGTGGAACTCATGCCGCTGGCAGTCGAATGTGTCAAAGGTTGGATTCAAGCCACTTGTAATGTACCACTTGCCATTAAAGTCACTGATGTTGAAGTTCTTGACAAGAACAGAAGGGTCAGGGACAGGAAATTCTCCGAGATCAGATTTTTGAGGAACACACTTTTTTCTCGACACAGCACACTCGTTGAACTCATCAACTACTTTGTTCTCGAATAGATCCCCACATTTGATCTGAAACAAGCACAGTCATTGGTCTCCTCTCTCATAAGCAACAGCTATATCTCTGGCCTCAGAAAGATAAATTCAAGAAAGATAAATTCAAGAAAGATAAAAAACCTGGCACTCGGTTTCATCTGGACGATTATTACAGGTCTGGAGGCAGGCGACATTGGCTGCGCAGGAAGGGTTGGCAATGCACTTTGCGAGTTCTATCCTAACAGATTATATGGTCAGACAATGTGAGATATATATAAACTTCTGGCAAAAAAAGACACCAACTCAAATCAGCTCCATGGTAGACAAACACTAGCTTCATCTAGATTCATAAACAACCGGCAACATTCTGAACAATTGAAATGGTAGAATCTGAATGAAGCCATACAGTGCAAATCATATGCAAATGAAAGGAATTCACCTGCATCCCTTTAGCAAGCATGCACAAGTTTTGAGTGCGTCAACTGCGTCTGCAGATGGAACTATGAGGAATGCGCACGCTAAAACACCCACTAGCTTTAACACCATTGGAGTGCTCAGCTCTTTCAGTGCATTCCTTGATGTTAATGCCACAATATCAAATACTCCCTGGCATGATTGAGGAAAGCGTGAGCCGGAGACATTGAAAGAACAATTTTTATTGATTCGAATCACAAAACCCAATTGGTTGATTACCTTAGAGGTTCCTGACCTGAATCCAGATAAGGGACGTGAGGATCTCGAAGTTGTTCTTAGATCAGCATTTTGGGAAGGGGGTAAAATCTTGACCAAGAATGTGCCATTGATCCTCTTCCTTAGAAGCCTACCATCAAAACTTGTAACTCCAGAGAAAAATCGAATACGGTCATGGCAAGGTGAAGTGAAACAATATGTAGCTACTGCCATGCTCTTGAGTATCTTCTAATCTTCCTCTGAACATATAAAATGCACATTACTATCTCTATCTATTTTCCAGAAACAATCTACAAATCAGCAATGAAAAATCATCAACAATTAAATTGACTTGATCATTCGAAATCAATTGCATGATATCAATTAATACCAAAGACGCAAACTGAAGTATCCAAACATCAAAACCAACTGATATATACGGACCCAAGAATCATCATAAAAGGTTGGCATAATTCGTGATTTCAGCTCATCAGACATGGAGAAATGTACACAATTCCGAAACCAGGAAAAACTAGACCAAAAATGTACACATTTTTGCTGAATTGAAGAAAGAAGAATCTGAGAGTTAGAGAGAGAGAGAGACGATTGTTACCGAAGATTGAAAGCTCCGCGAGAAGCAGAGGGAGAGGGAGTGAGCGATATACGGATGTAAGGAATTTGCTTTGGATAAGACTCGGAGTCTTCCGCCTGGGAAATAAAGCCAATATCTGCAAGTTTAAGATTTTTTTTATTTCCAAGTTTTTTTCAGAAAAAATATTTAGTTATAAACACACTATAATAAATTATAAATAAAATGTGTGAACAAAGAAAATATATCTATAAGAAAATGGATGACAAACATGAATGCAAAGAATTACGAAACAAATTACTCTTAATAGTAAAACATAATTGATAATCCTATTTAGTTTCTGACACTAGTGCCAATGGTTGTTTTTTTGGACAATGTTTGCAATTTAAAAGTGGGAAAAAACCTTAAAAATACACCAACTATATAACATTTGGAAGAAAAATACATGAACTATTTTGACTTCCCAAAAAATACATAAATTATTAATCGTTGTGTATTTAATACTCAAACTATCAAATACTTCTTTTTTAATACTCCAACTATGAAATTTCGTGAATTTTAAACAATTTGACATAATTTATATTATGGAAATCCAGTTTTATCCTTTTCTATTTTATAAATTTGATTTCTTTCGTTTTAAAAAAGTAATATTTTATTAAAAAGCGAACTAATTAACAAAAAAAAGAAATTCTTCTTCATGAATTTGTGATTTGGATCTTTGAAAAATGAGATTTTCTCTTTGCAAGAAAGTGTTGATATAGAAATTCAATAATTTTAATCACAAGAAACCAAATTAATTGCATACAAAGAACTGAGAACAAAATTTCAAATTCATTACTGTTCATAAAACCATCAATCTGGAGTTTTCAAATCAAACCCACATCGCTCAAAAACCTATAAACACAAAGGAATTGTGATATAATATCTATGTCAACCAGAGATGCATTTGCACGAGGAATACGAAGCCGTCATTCAACGGCTGATAGATCCGAAAACAAAGGAGGAAGAGGAAAGAGTTTCAGTGGAGAAGACGAAGGTTTTTTTTTCTTCGTATCTTTATTTTTTTACTTTTTTAATTATTAATTTTGTATGAGATAAATTCGAATTTTCAAAACAAAAGAGGGTAAAGTTGTATTTTCACAATGTAAATACAGGAAATTTAATGATTCGGGTATTAAAAAAGAAGTGATTGATAGTTTGAGTATTAAATACACAATGATTAATAGTTGATGTATTTTTTAGGAAACCAAAATAATTCATGTATTTTTCTTCTAAATGTTATATAGGTGGTGTATTTTTAAGGTTTTTTTCCCAAAAGTAGAAACAAAAAAATATAATTTTTTAAACAATTTTGACTCGAAAAAATTAATTCGTATATCGAGAAAACATATTCGTATATATCCACAAGTTTTTTCAAGTCAATATTGCTAACATGCAATTTTCTGGTTGCTAGTGCAAACGTTGGCAACAAAAAAATCAATATTGCTAACAAGCCTAACATGCTTCCGATGTCAAGAAGAAGCTTCTCAAAAATTCTGAACTCAGACGATGAAGCCACAAATGCTTTATACCCTCTTCGATTTTGTTTGCTTATTCATCGCTTTGAGATCTCTACTATGTTTTGATTTTGACAGAACTATTGTGCAGTTATCTGAATTGGTACTTTGCTTTATGAAGAAATCTTTGATTCAACAACAAATCATGGATGACCATTAACTTTAAACATTGATGAAAGTGAGAGTTTGATAGTTTGATAGTTTTGTTTCTTCTTATTTTTTTTTTTCATCCTAATAGTTTAGGAAATTGCATAATGACAATGAAGAGATGAGAACTTGTATTGTTGAACTTCTATGAGGTATTATGAAGAAAGTAATAGAGAAAATCAATAACGCTGGAAAGCCTGGTGCTTTCGATGATTTTTTTTGGTTATTATATGTATGTTGATCCATAATTTTCTTGTCTACTATCTCCATTTTGTAGTGAAATATCAAGTTAAAGTTTATGATGGTATTGTTGTGGTCAAAACACCTGATGAAAACACCTGAAGTGTTGTCATGTTGTGGCCAAAACACCAAATGATGGCATTGAGTTTGTTTTTGTAAAAGATTATTTAATATACATTTTATTCAGTCATCATAAACATAATTAATTTTTGGTTTGGTTTTTTGACTTTGTTTATGACTAAAGACAAATTTTAGTCACTTACGATATAAAAAAAAATGTTATTGTTGGAACTAACTGTGCAATATTTGTTCAAAAAACTTGATTTGAAAGGTGTTATTCAATCATAGTTTTTAATATAATTGAAATCTAACCACAATTCACTATTATTCAACTAAGAGAATTTAAAGTTTGATGTTATTTGATGAGGATTTCAAAACTTTTATTAAAATCCAGTGTTATTCAAAATTAAATAACTTTTTTATATATTAAGTCATTTCAAATTAATTTCAATAGAATTTTATGAGTAAATTATTAAAGTCAGAAACCTAATGTACATTGCGTAGATTTTAAAATCTAAATAAATAAATCTATAAAAATGATATCAACTTAAAAATTATAAAACCTAGAAATTTTATTTTAAATTCATGATTGGTAACATCTTTGATTTTAGAAAATTGCTCTTTTACTTATTTATAGCCAAATATAACTTATATAGTACATATGATTTCGCCTGCTTTGGAGATAAAAGGTGCATCTTGCAGCCACAAAAATAGTAAATGTTAAAAAAATTAATTACTGCTTGTGAAATGATTATACTCGGGTTCTATGCACAAAACACTCCTCAGCAAATGATAAAATTATGATTACTCTTATGGTTATGCAACCAAGTATTGCTGCAAATGGTTGCTTCTCTTCTTGTTCTTGAGTTTCCTGAAAGCAGAGGACTCGATCTGCCTCACTCTCTCCCGGCTCACACCCATAGTCTCTCCTATCTCCTGCAACGTCTTCATCCTCCCATCCTCCATCCCAAATCTCCAACGTATCACCTGCTTCTCCCTCGTACTCAACGAGTCCAGCACTTTGTCCAAGTCCTGCCTCATGAACTGCTTTATCAGAATATCTTCTGAAGTTTCTGCTTCAGGATCTGCTATCACTTCCTGTGTTCACACGCCCATCTCATATTTACTATTTTGAACAAACAAGAAGAAGATTATGATGTATGGTGTGTTGTGTCAGGAGGACAAACCGAGGGTTTGAGGTTCTGATTGATTCCGATTTTCTGGTCTAGCGACCTCGGAGGCTTAGGAGAGAGTAGAACCGCCATGAGCCTTTTCATCGACAGCCCTGTCGCCTCTGCAACTTCTTCATTCTCTGGTTGCTTACCCGTTTCACTGTACAGTTGCTTTCGTGCCTCTTTCACCCGATATGTTGCCTCCACCATGTGAAACTGCCAATCATCCCATAAAAATTTATACAAACCTCGAACTATTGTTTCAACATGTCATAGGACGTTAAAACAATAGGGGTGACTTACAGGCAATCTTATCATTCTGGACTGATCAGAGAGAGACTTCCGCACTGCTTGCTTGATCCACCAATGTGCATAAGTTGAAAATTTAAAACCCTTTGTAGCATCAAACTTCTCTGCTCCCCTCACAAGCCCTCTGCACCCTTCCTGTGACCATTTTGACATATTTTTGAAACAAGAGGATGATATATTACTTTCCTCAGTATTGTAACAGATGTAATTATCACAAAATATAAGGGGTGAAAGACTCGAACCTGGACAAGATCTTGGAGGTTCATCCCAGCTCCTTGATAATTCTTGGCAATCGAAATGACGAGCCGAATGTTACTTTTAATCATCCTGTCCTTGCATTGTGTACCATAATTTATACGTTTCCTTAAGGATTTTTGATCGACTCCAGCAGCAGAAGCCCACTGTGCAAAGGTTGGCTGATGGCCACAACGCTCAGTAAGCTCTGCTTGAAGTCTTTCCAACTTCAGAAGATCCTAAATGAAAGACCGAAAGTTTGTTATCACAGAAAAGAAGATAAGAAAATTTACATCATTTTCAAACATTAAAATACTTTCCACATGGTTTTTCCCCCCGAATCTAGAACATATTAGGGGCGATGTGGAGAAAAAGAAGTGGTTAGTTTAGAATTTGGGATATAAGTGACAAACCTGTATTCCTTCAGACAGCTCTTGTTCTTCTCTGGCAGTGAGAAGCTTGGAACTGCTTGTTGTCATTCTTAGATAACGCAAAGGATCATTATGGTCAACTTCTTGTGAAGGAGCACGTTTCTTTCTAGAGCTCGAACCGGTCTTCACAGATTGCATACTTGATGCAGTTTTCTCTAGCCCTTTTGCCCTTCGAGCTTTCCTTTCAGTCTGGCGTGTCGATCTCACAGCTGAACTCACTGAAAGTTGCTCCTCCAGAAGCTCAACTTCTTGTTTTTCTGATTTTAAATCACCAGACGACTCGTTGTTACAGTCAGGTGCAGGTGCAGGTGCAGGTGCAGGTGCAGGTGCAGTGCTTTTATCACTCACAACTCCAGTGTCTGAAACCGCTAGATGTCCCAATATGCCAGCACGTTCCTTCTCTGTGAATTGATCCCACTTGGAGCGTTTGTCGGCTGCTGACGAAACTACTACTTTTGTGTTGTAACTGTTTCTAAATGATGTGGCGTCTTTCGCAACTTTGACAGCAGCTCTCGCAAGGGCTACTGCTTCGGCTGCTGCTGCCGCAACTACTGCTTCATCACTTGTGAGAAGTGTTTCAGAGGCTAAAGCTTCTAAATATTTTGCCTAGAAATGCAAAGAACTTATCAATGATCTCACTGAACCCTTTGGGAACCATTATTAGACGTGACATGGCAATATAAGAATTTTTTTACTTACCTCAGTGGAAGGACCAACGGTTCCTGTATAAGTCCATTGCCTGTCTGATATTCGAGAGTCTGAATCAGTATCGAAAGAGGGTAGTCTAAGCTTTGCCACATCAAGCATAGAAGTTAATAACGGCGGTGAAGTGGACACTGCACATTGCGGTTGGAAGAAGACTGAACCCTTATTGTGTTTTGCTGCATGTTCCATTCACATATATAAATATTCGTGAACATATGAGAAAAAAAAAGGCATCACAATGATTAGGATGACATAGCAAATATGACATCGTCTACTTTCCTGAAAACGTGTTCCTTTTGAAATCTATAATCTGAACCACAGAAGTTGAGATTCGATAACCCTATCAACTAGATATTAGAATTGGCTACTGTTCAAGCAATTTCGTTAATCAAACAAGTAAGGGAACTCTAGCCTAAAACAATCAGAACTATAGAGATTATAAACTCTAGTTTCCAAGTCAATGCTAACTTACGATTTCGTACCGATCTGAATAATCAATGTAGACTGGAAGTTATGTCTAGATACAAAAATTCTTTAGTGTCAGCTTCTGTGCTAACAAACTCAACCCTTCACCCATAATGTTGGATTTTCACTACTACATTCTTCAAATCAATACGTAACTATTCATGGGTGTCGATAAAAATGTATCCAAGGCGTTCTTAGATGACGTCATTGAAGGATGAGAACAGAGCAAGAAGTCACAGTAAACACTGAAGGAGTTACAGCTAAAGCATCAAAAAATCACATCCAATAACCCATAATCCATAAAAGATAGATAAACCTATATGGAATCGATTTGGACGAAATTGGGGGAAGATATTCAAAATTCAACATGAGAATGAATGAATGTAGATAAGAGAGAGAGAAGGTAATACTTACAGAGGGAGTAAGAGGTTTTGAAGTGAATAGAGAAGGAATCAGGTTGGCACTTGAACTGAGGAAGAAGACAAGAAGACATGCTCTTTCTCGGCTAAATTCGAAAGCTAAGTCTGACCATTGAAGGCCGTTAAGAGATTTTAGAGAGAGAGAAAAACTGGTGATGGCGGATGAAGACGGGAAAAGGATAAAGCTTCTTGTCAATGGATTATTGACTCTGCTTCCATTGCTCATAAAACTTCCAGCTCCTTTGGGCCTAAGCCCATTCCCATCTCACCATAACACCACATTTGCATAGTCAACCATTACGTGGAAATTACAAGGAATAAATATTTTTTTTTTCTTTCTAATATGTCATTATGTCCACTTCGAAATGATTTTAATTTTTAGGTTTTCCTTGACAAAAAAAAAAAAAAAAAGTTTTCCCTCACCTTGTAAAATTGTTAATTCAAAAATATGTCTCACATTCTCTTCCTATATCAAACAACATCAGGTTTCTCAAATACACCCAATTCTACCAAAAGCCTTGTTCATATTCTGTTTCCCTTTACCCTTGTACTAATTTCCTCAAACAGAAAAAAAAAAAAAAAAAAAAACAGTCCAAGTGAAAACTTCTACATGTCTAAGGAATCTTCGTCATTGTCTCCTCCGGTTATAATGTTCATAAGAGTCTTGGTTGCTCTGCCTATTGCATGAGAAGTCTTCTTGGCCGCACCGGCAACAACAGGTTGAAGCGATATTTCTGGCAAGCTTGCTCTCTCTTCAATCATTGCTGAACCAATATCAACGTCACCACAGATCATAACTTACCTAAATTTTTTTTACTAAAGTTGAATAACTTAGGGAAAAAAAAAAGAGAGAAGTTTACAGAGAGTTTGCTGGTGTGCAAGGGTTCCAATCTGTCGGATTCCAGCTTCAGCTGCTTGAACTGCTTTAGCTGATTTGTTTACCCCATCAGTTATTTCTTGGCTGAAACCATTTACATAGCATAATCATATGATTTTATTCTTATTCTTGGCAAATGAAAAGGGTGACTCGGACTAATCAATTTGAAGCAACTGTTAAGAGTTCATTGTTTTGAAACATGTAGCTTTTAGAGTAGAGATGATCATAAGCGAAGAACATGCAAAGAAAAGATGTATAGTGATAACCTCAAATCGCTCAATTCAAGAGTAAGATCGCTTATTTCCATGCCGGAGAGCCTTATGGCAGCCATGGTACTTGGGAATTCTTGACGGGCTGTGTCAGCTAACTTAGCAAACGAAGATGCAGCTCTAGCCATGGCCTGAATATTTATGGATATAAAAAAAATATGGTTTTGAATAGATATGGAGTCAAGAACAAAGATACCTATTGTGCTGAAATTCACAATGGTTTGCTGAGTTAAGCCAAAATCCAAAATCATATAGCTGAACCAAAACTAGGACACATATAAAGAAGAGTCAAGTATGGAATTCAACAGGTAAAGGGTTTTAGTTCAGTTTGTATCTCTGTTAGTGTACTCTTGTGTTGCTCATTAGCTATTTTCTTTCTTTCAATGTGAAACTTAAGCATTTCTCAGTTGGTGCTAACATCAATTGCTGCACATCACAAATACTCAATCCATGTACATGCCCACTTTCTTATAGCTAGCTACTTGAAACAGCTTCAAAATGAGTGATGAAGCAATAGATTCTTGAAGGCAGTGATAGCTGAAGGCAGTGAAAGATTTAGACATAATAAGGTTCTAATTAAGTCGTAACAAATGTGGAGACTTACCACAAGCGTGGGAACTGCTGCTATCACAAGACTCGTAAAAGCCACTGAAGTCTGCAACAGAGGACCATCAAGAGATCAACGAGCCTACTAGCATTTATCAAATGTAATCAAACCAAATGTCAAAACAACCACATGCAGTATTGCAATATTGATCTGTCCTCTACACCCACCTAAAAATTTCGAATAAAAATGAAAAAAAAAAAAGATAAAGTGGTTCTGAAGCGGTCAATCTTCTTCTTTACCGTGCAAGCGATGAAGGCCAAGAGAAGAAATGCCTGATCACTTAAACTCAGCTTGGCTAATGGATTGATTGAATGCGGAGAAACAGGGCTGCCCACTTGTGCTTTGAAATTGTTAATCGATTGATCTTCCAAGATACTGATCGATGCCCTAGACATGATTCCACCTTGGGAAGTCGATAAACCCTCAGAACTCGAGCTCGACCTCTTCTCTGGGTTTGAAAAATACATGGAGACCAAAACACCGCATCTCTTTGGAGGGGATAAGTAGAGCGAAGCTGGAATCTTGAGGGCAAACCTTGTTCGAGAAAGAGAAAGAAATGGAGACGAACGAATCCGTGGAGCTGTAGAAACCAAGCCAAGAGATTTCATCTCTTTCAGTCGGAAACTGAATTTGGTTTCGAAATTGTAAGTCTTCTCTCTTCCAAGTAGCTTAGTTTCCTTATACAAACTGTACTTCGGTCCAGGCCGGTTTAACCGCCGCAAAATTAACCACACAATACCGACGAAATTGTGATAAATTCTTTGGTATACTATTCATTGCTAATTAATGTCACTCATTCGCACCGTTAAATCAGTGGTTAGTTACCGACCAACCGAAATTCGCTGGAAAAATTAGACGGCTTAATCAGTCGCCAAATCCGTTGTTAAATTTGCGAGACGCATCTCATTTCATATAATCTTCATGTTTAATGAATGAATTGTGTTTGAAGAAAAAAAAAATTAGAATATACACTGTGATCATAGAGAGTATTGCAGACAAATGAGGTCAAGAGTTCTTTAGATCGGATAACGCATCCTTAGTGGTGGCCGAGATAACAGCATCCGAAGCATTTGGCAAGTAGTAATATTTTCCTGCGAGGAACAAGAGGACTCTTCCACTGTGATTGAAAATAAGAAGAAAAAATATATCTGTTGAATCAATTGCAGAAACAAACCTTGAGCAACTCTTGCGATCTCCTTGGCAAAACCTGTTGAAACAAACTTGTTCTCTGTATCAATCACTAGAAGAGACATCCCAGCCTTGTAAATCTTCGCAGCAACTTCCAGAATCTCATCCTAATACAACACAAACACCAGCAAATTGTAATCACTGCATCTACCTTCTTTTAAGGACATAGAGCTTGTTTTTTATCTGCGTGCGTTATGTTTTCCTCAGAAGCTGTTTAAAGCATTTACCTTCAATTCTTGGGACGAGGGTCTAGGAGCATCTGGGGCAATACCCTCGGGATCAGTTGATCTTTTCAGTGTAATGTTAGCTCGACCATCAGTTATTGCAACAATCATTATACGCCCTACATCACCACTCTTCTCTGCGTTCAGTCCGACTCTTACCGCCTAATATGAATATATGTGTATCAGCTTAGATAGATATTTATTATTATTGTTATTACCATTATGATTGCTGAAACCACAATAATTTACCACCTCAGTACATAGATGTTATCATCATAACAACACCATAAAATTCGACATACCGTTGTTAGACCATGGGCAAGAGGAGAACCACCACCACAAGGAAGTCTCTCAAGACGATTTCTTGCCATTGCAATTGATCTAGAAGGGGGCAAGAGCACTTCTGCAGCATCTCCTCTGAAAGGAATAATCGCAACCTATACCAATCACGGGAGTATGAGTCTCATCTGAAGGCCCGACTGACTATAAACTATCAACAAGCACGTCTACTATTCAATAGAGTAATTTTTACCTGATCCCTGCTAGTATAGCTCTCTGCCAGAAGTTTGAGTGCAGCACCTTTGGCGTTTTGCATACGATTCAAAGCCATGCTGCCACTTGCGTCAACCACGAAAATAACCTGCCATACAACAATGGTAAGCCAGAATCATAATCAGATGTTATCTATGTTCACTGAAACCTGTGCTGTTAGAAACAATGAGTCCTACATGTTTCGATACATTCTCATATCTCTTTCAGCAAAAAATTTATGCCTTGCCTTGCTTGTCCACATTTTTGGACAAAATAGTAAATTAAACAAGTCACATTATTGAAGCGAGGACATTTAAGCATCTATATTAAGCTTCGCCCATTTTCTATTTTGTGTTCATCATGCCAAACATCTTTGTGTTTAAAACCTAAGTGAGAATAATTTGTGCATCTAGAAAACTGTTAAATTTATACAATCAGAAGAATGCATGGACAGGATTTAATACCAGGGCTCCAGCTTTCCTTGCCATTCTTTTCGCCCTCATATCTGTTTTCTCGACAAAGACTTTCCTAGTTCCTGAAATATCCTTCTCTCTGCGCAATTTCTGGTATGGTGCAGCTGCTCTAAGGGTTGCATCCACAGCTAGTCTTTTTACTGGACCCTGTCAGAGTATAAATTTGTTAAAGGACTCTGCAAGTTTGGGAGCCTGGTCACTTCTATAGCGGCCATTTGGGTACCACACTACTGGGAATAAAAGTAGCGACCTTTGCTGTGCTCGTTGAGGGACGAACCCAACAACTCTACCACCCTACAAAGGGTGCTCTAGAAAAAACCAAGGAAACCAATAAAGTAATGCTCTAGAACAAAACAAGAAAACCAATAAACTAAGGTAAAAAGGACATATGCATATCTTGACTCAAGTAAGCAGCCAAGGCTAAATCAATGAAATCTCTCTGAAATTAATTCATGTAGCCAAATTAAGATTGACCCAGAGGGCAAACCTTTGGAAGCATTGGCTTTATATAGCGTCCTCTATCTTCTGAGAATATGACATTCTTCGCTCTTCCAGCTTTACCCCGGCGTCTCTGGGCTTGTTGAGCAAAGAAGAGGAGCTTCTCATCCACCAGACCGCCCTCAGCGTCAAATATAAACTCATCAGGTATTTGGTCCTGTTGCTGCTCATTTTCATTTTCTTCGTTGCTTTCATCCTACATTGGTTAAGGATTTACACTTTAGAGAACCTACTTCGTGTGTCCAACAAGAGACAATAATGTATACCTAATCCACTGACCTCTTCTTCTTCTTCTTGATCTTCTTCATTTTCTTCTTCTCCAGAATCATTACTTTGTGGAGGAGGTGGAGGAGGTGGTGGTTGGTTTTGTTGATCAGGCGGAGCCTCAACTACGTCTGAACGAGGAAGAATGACCAGTTCAACCTATTGAAAATGGACCGCATTTGCTAATCAATACCTGGAGAATGACGTAAAAACTCCATCCAAATCCTAATAAAGTGTCATTCTACAATGCCAATTAACGTTTCTGTTAAGATGTTCAATTATAGTTTCTTTTAAAGACGAATCTCACTGTCAATCAGAGGCAATATCATTTCCATGTAAAACGAATTATAGCAAAACTCAAGTTATCCAAGAAGATCCAAAATCAACAGTTTTTGTGCATAAGTAGTAGGAGAGTAGGAATGAACCACAAGAAAAGCACTTCAACTGAGGTCAGAAAATAAGTAGGCAACTGAAACGTTAACAAGGTAGGGGACATAACATATGTTAGAGCGTCAACCTCTTAACACAATGACTATACTTAACGAAGAAAAGTTTATGACTTGTCTAATCGTTTTGGAAAAAAAAAATAAAAATATGAGCCAAATAAGAGTACTTAACGGCCTTTCTGAGGTCATCAATGGTGACTTTTTCTCGCCCTTCAAGTGCAGCTAAGCACTTCGCCACACGGGCTGCATATAATTCGGCGCGGTGTCCCTGTATCATAAATTTGTTATTGGAGGACGGAGTATTAAACTATTCCAGGTAGTCATCAGCAAAGAAAAAGGTAAGGAATTAAAATTTAAGTACCAAGTACTCCAAACACGACATATTATAGTGATATGATCATAAAATGGTGAAACATCACATTCAACCGCACAACAAAAGCACTCAATGTCAAGCCCCTCATTATCCAGTTCTACAGAAAATCAACTTTATCAATATTTAGGATACGGCAGTGAGCCATTTCTTACATTCTATCCCTTAACTTTGGGACAACTTATTTATCTCCGTTTAAGGACTACACTAGTTGAAGTCTATAATCGTGACCTTATCTTACATGCATCAGGTCCTCTCCTCGTGTTTATCTTTATTTTTTCCAGGAATACGTTACTATAGAGTAATTATTCCATAAACACAAAAATAATTTAGAATTTGCACCACACCTGACAACCACCTCGGACAGCTTCCAAAACCAGATACTTGAGTTGATCTCTACTTATCTTGACATCTTTCAAATATTCTCTAGCCAATATAATCTGCAGTCAGAAAAAAAGGCACTGGGTTATGACAGAAAAAAATTTGATAAGAAGGAAAGCATCCCATCCAACTTTTGCTAATGACGCATTGTACCAGCTCTTTTTCTCTGAATTGATTGGAAGATAGATACCTGCGTCTTTGCTGTTTCTGTCTCTTCATCTACCATTCTAAAAACCTCATTACTGTATTCCTGAAACTGTGTGGCAATTCCAACGGCTGCGACGCGATCTTCAAAACTCATAGGAAGGTCTGCGCTGCAAATGTTAACATCGTGATGTAAATAGAGAAAGAACCGGGAACTACCCAAAAGAAACAGACCATATTTATCCATCTTGTTTCAAAAAGCTCCGGCAATACCTTAAGTTAATGGCAACACGGTCTAGCAAGTGCTCTCGAACAGCACCTTCTTCAGGGTTATAGGTTGCAATTAATAGTGGCTTACAAGGATGCCTAAAGCTAATTCCTTCTCTTTCAACAATATTAACACCATCCGTCAATACATTGAGAAGCAAATTACTAATGCCCTCATCTAAGAGATTTATTTCATCAACATACAACACTCCCCTATGGGCTTCAGCCAAAAGACCAGGTTGGAAAACAGTTGTCCCCCTTTTCACAGACTCCTCAACATCAACAGACCCAATGAGTCTGTCTTCTGTGACTCCTAGAGGAATCTGTGTAATACGAATGACAGAATGAACCCCAGTAATCAGAAAACTGTTTCAGAAAAGCTGTAATGGCTCGTAAAACTAAAACGTACCTGAATGAAAGGAGATTTGACAATCTCAGTCTTAATGCTTTTGTCAGCATTGTACTCTACTTTCTCAGCTAACTCATCTTCCCACCTACATGTATCATAAGTGTACAAGATATCAGTGTATGAATTGAGAAGAGCATGGTATTCAGGCATCACACTACTGCAGCCACTTTCAACTTAATATCATTCCTGAACAAGAAATAAAGGAAAAAGAAATTCGTTTCAGGTTGTAAGATTCTTACTCATCTGGGCAGGCCGGGTCAGCATTTGATATTGAGCCAACAACAACTTCAATGGGCGGGAGGATAGCATGTAGCCCTCGAGCCATGATTGTTTTTGCAGTCCCTCTACGACCTGAGATAGCAATCCCTCCGATTTCACGATCAACGGCACCAAGTAGAAGAGCAGTTTTTATGCCTTCCTATAATAAAATAACAAACAACACTAATTGAAGCTAATACAAACATAATGTCTGAGAAGAAAATCCAACAATTCCAAAATTTGAAGAGGAAAACAAATGCTATTGAACGAGAAATCTATTGAAGTAACTCTATTATTCGTCGCTGCATTTGATAGAGAAAACTGATTCAAAATTTTAGAGTAGAATTCTGACAACAGCTGAATCCAATTGAAGAGTACGAGGAGCAAATTCTCAGACCTGGCCAACGACAGCGGCCAAAGGGAAAAACTGACGGCCATAGGAGGTGCTCTCGGTCTCTGAGGTCGACGCAGCGACACCGTTTGGGGATTCGACGGTAGCATTCGCGGAGGCGCGAACCGTGAACCGGTACGACGCAACTCTGTTCCGTTTGGTGGTGAGGGAGAGAAACGGAGGCTTGGGTATTAAGTCGGAGCGAAAGAGACGGTACGTTGACACTGGAGATGATGCGGCAACAGGAGTCATCGCCATTTTTGAAGACTAGGAGGAGGAACAAGCTCACTGTGTTTTTTTTCTTCTTTTTCCAGTATTTGAACCTTATCAGCTTATTTCGCTTCTATCCTGTCTCTCCTCATCCCTTCCTGATTGGAGCACTATGCTTATTTTAAGATTTTTTTACTAAGATGTCTATAATTTACTTCCTTTTGTTATTTTTTGAACGATAATTTTATTCTGAATTTCGAAGTTACATTTTTACATAATTAATCTTGTTCAAAACAGAAACAGCTAGTATTAATTAACCCCCAATATACTAAAAAAAAGTAAAAAGGTTTTATAAATTAATTATTGGACTTCATTTTTAATAGCATTATATCGAAGAAAATTAGAAGTATCGTACTAATACAGTAATACAACAATTGGGCACAAATTTTGCATAAGAAATTGATATTCAAATATTTAAAAAAAAAATAAACATAGCAAGAGAAGAAGATCATGAAACTTCTGAAAAATATATTTAACAACAAAAAAAAAATCTGAAAATAGATGAAGCGTGAGAAATGTTAGTTGGACGTTTGAAAGAAAGTTTAAATACGAATGTTGACAACTAAATTAAATATGAGTGCAGGCGTTTGGGTCTAGAAAACGAGTGGTTAAAAGGTGTAAACATGGACCACGAATTTAAGATTGCATGGCATATTCATAAATGATAAATCAAAACTAGATCCATAGCTAGATAACAACCGACGAATTGTATATATTCATTTCGTAAATCGCTTGAAATCTCCCCCATGTCTCTAGGCAAACTTCAATTTTCATGTAGACCGGCGCATATGCAGATCATCAGCATGGATTTTGGTCGCCTTGGTCCAAGATATGATGTTGCATGATCCCAATATCATGAGGATAGTATTAGTATCTCAACACTGAGTTTCTGATATCTGTAACCTTAATTATATCATCCGGGCTTGTATTTCAAGGTGGTCTTAGTAGAGATTATTCTCCAATGTTTTCTTTGCTTTTGTGATCATACCGGTTCGGTTGCTTTAACGTGGACCACGAATTTACATTGCATGGCACACCGCACACCCATAATTGATAAGTCAAAGCTAAATTAGTAGATAAATAATACCGGTTCGGTATTAAGTACTGAAAGTCGCCATAATCACATCCAGCATGCGATGATGAAGTGCGAATCCAAACTCCTCTCTACGACGTAAGTACGATCATCGCTAATTCGCCGTATTCACACAGTCATCGTCTCTACTTTCTTTTGTTTATCTCGACGATACTCGTTTTTTTTTTTTTTGTTACCTTGATCAAACATTTGGTTTTGTTATTATTTTAACCTTATTTAAGCCGCGTCGTTTTTTGGTCATTATATATGTTTTTGTTTGGTGACTTACATCAGAATTTCTTTGTGACTTGTATACTGACGGATAAACTTGCGCTGTTTAGATTAGATGGTTTAAGAAGAATAAAAAAAGTTTTGGTTACTTCACGCTTATAAATTCTATATTATATTCTACTATTTATTTTATGTTTTCAGTGAAATGAATCTATAAGTCCGACCGTTGACTCAAAATATTGTACAAAGTTTTATGGGTAAACGAATAAAAAACTTAACGAAGCACAATGTTAGGTTTTTTGTTTAAATGTATAGCTTCTTTCGGCTTTAATAAATACAAGTAAGAAAGAGATTGATGCACATGTATACCTTGTTGGTATCTGCCCACTTCCTATTACAAAGGACGTCGGTGCCAGAATTGACAATTCTCTCTGCTAACACAATCTGATATGTGTCTTTTTCTCTACAAATACGTCTATGATTGGTGCGATTTAAGCAAATTTACAGGGAAATCAAATCCAATGAAATTTTTACACGGAAGCAATCAATCAACTTTTGCGTGCTACAATTTGTAAGAAGAAAATTTTAGTCCATGCGAATATACATATATAAAAAACTAATAGATTTGCCTAATTAGGTTAACTAATCTTGTAACAAGAAAAGGGTAAAATGGGAATTATGAAAAAACGAAATGTTGTTTTGAAACTACGAGAAGGGAGGAAAGGCAAAATGCAAATAATATAAAAAGCCATCTCATCCACATTTCTCTCTCACCCACCCTACAGACTTCTCTCCCATTTTTCTCTACGCTCAAATTTGTATTTTAATAATTTTTGTTCCCCCAAAAAGTATTGAGAATCGCAAAAAAAAAAAAAAACTGAATTGGGAAAAATTATTGAGAAAAAAAAAAGAGAAAAGTTTTAAACAAAAGGAAAGGAGATCGTGAGCCAGGGAGGCACAGCTGAAGAAGGAGAATTTAGGGTTTGGAGACTCCGAAGAATTTGGCGTTACCGTTGTGATTTCTTCCTTCATTATACACCTGGTACGATCTCTCTTTCCTCTTTTTTTTTTTTTGTTTGGTTCGTCTCCTTCCTGTCCCTTCTGAATCTATTCATCGCTGGTTTGGATTCGTCACCTCGTTGCTTTCATTTTGATGCTTGATACTTGATAGAAATTAAGATGTTCGAATTACCATTTTGTTTTAGTTGGTGTTTTTTTTTTTGTGGGTGGATTCTACGATCTGTTTTTAATCTGTTTTACTTTCCTTCTGTTCTTTGTTTTTGAATTTCAGATCTGGGTTTTCTTTTTCTTTTTATTCTCTTTATTGCCTGCGAAAATTTGGTTTCCCCTACAACTTTGAGAATCTCATTTGAATGGTTTGAATGAAATATCGATTATGAGCACCAGCTGACAATATTTGTGAATGCTCTAGAGCTGTCTTCCGCAGTTTAGGATTTTGATAGTTTTTGTCTTGACAAATTAGAGTTTCGTTTCAATCTGCTAATGATTTGTATCGTGTCTCGGATATGGCAGTGGCCGAGCTAGATTAACTGGGAATTTGCGTATTGTATATGTTCTTTTTGTTTACGGCAATTTTTTTGTTTTTTTTTTTGGTGTGTGTCTATGTGATTGTTCAGACTTTATGGTAAATCCTGCTAATTTCTAAAGATGTAAAAGAAATATGACACTCACTGAGTAAGCTTTTTTTTTTTGTGGTGGCAGTGTCTTTTGAGAGCTCTTCTCCTCGTCATGGTGGCCACCTCTGCTACGTCGTCATTTTTTCCTGTACCATCTCCCTCGCTTGATCCTAATGGAAAGGGAAGCAAGGTTGCGTCCACGAATTTTGCTGGACTCAATTCAACACCAAACTCTGGCAGGATGAAGGTTAAGCCAAACGCACAGGCTCCACCCAAGATTAATGGGAAAAAAGTTGGTTTGCCAGGTTCTGTAGAGCTCTTAAAGACTGATAACGAGACGTCACATCCCGCACCGAGAACATTCATCAACCAGTTACCTGACTGGAGCATGCTTCTTGCTGCCATTACAACGGTTTTCTTAGCAGCTGAGAAACAGTGGATGATGCTTGACTGGAAACCCAGGCGTTCTGACATGATAATGGATCCATTCGGTTTAGGGAGAATCGTTCAGGATGGCCTTGTGTTCCGTCAGAATTTCTCCATTAGGTCATATGAAATAGGTGCTGATCGCTCTGCATCTATAGAAACAGTCATGAATCATTTACAGGTAAATAACCCTTCAGTTATGATTACAGTCGCATGCTGTCACTGGTCCTATTCATATCCATGATTTAGCTCTTATGGTCATTGACAGGAAACGGCCCTCAACCATGTCAAGTCTGCTGGACTGCTGGGAGATGGGTTTGGTTCTACCCCTGAGATGTTTAAGAAGAACCTGATATGGGTCGTTACTCGTATGCAAGTTGTGGTTGATAAATATCCTACTTGGTAAGCTATTGTCGGTTGCTTTTTGTGAGTTATCCAGATTATCTTGCATAGGCTTGAATATGTCGGTCCTCACTTGTTTTTACCAGGTTTGGGAAAATGATGTGTAGTTTTGCTTGTTTCTTTCTAAAAATCAGTTACCATTTACATATTTTATGCTCGGTTGATACTGATTTTACCATAGCACAAATATGCTCATATGAACAGTTACATTTTAGCACCCTGGATTACATGCTGTGCATGCTTATTCAATATATCTGCCTCACAGGGGAGATGTTGTCGAAGTAGATACCTGGGTCAGTCAGTCTGGAAAGAATGGTATGCGTCGTGATTGGCTAGTTCGGGATTGCAATACTGGAGAAATATTAACGCGAGCATCAAGGTTAGATTTCATTTTTGTTTACTCCATCTATTATCATTTTCTGCATTTGACCACCAGTTATTGGTTATTTGCTCTCTGTTTGTACTTTTTGCTCTTGCCTTTGAATTCGAAAAAGCCTCATGAGCAGATGCATCTTCAGTTAGATATTTGATAACAGAGTTATAATCATCTCTGTAATATCCTTTTGCAGTGTGTGGGTGATGATGAATAAACTGACAAGGAGATTATCAAAGATTCCTGAAGAGGTTCGAGGGGAGATAGAGCCATATTTTGTGAATTCTGACCCTGTCCTTGCGGAGGACAGCAGAAAGTTAACAAAACTGGATGACAAGACTGCTGACTATGTTCGATCTGGTCTCACTGTAAGTTATAATAATATTTGCTGTGTATGGTCTCAACAAGCATGTAAAAAAACTCTTCGAGATTCTCATGGTGTTTTGGTAATGAACTTTTGGCCAGCCGCGATGGAGTGACTTAGATGTTAACCAGCATGTTAACAATGTAAAGTACATCGGGTGGATACTGGAGAGTGCACCGGTGGGGATGATGGAGAGGCAGAAGCTGAAAAGCATGACTCTCGAGTACCGGAGGGAATGTGGAAGAGACAGTGTGCTTCAGTCCCTTACCGCAGTGTCGGGATGTGATATCGGTAATCTCGGGACAGCCGGAGAGGTGGAGTGTCAGCATTTGCTCCGACTCCAAGATGGAGCCGAAGTGGTGAGAGGACGAACAGAGTGGAGTTCCAAGACACCAACAACAACTTGGGGCACCACACCGTCGTAAAAGAAAACAAAAACCACCACCACAACATTGGGGTCCTTTTGGTTCCTTTGTAACTATACCTCCTCCTCTTCCTCCTCCTGCTACTTGCTTGCACAACCACCACCATTGCATTTCCTCTCAAAAGTTTGGGCCACCTTTGTATATTTCTTCTTCTTCTTCTCCTTTTTGTTTTTATTTTTCTTCGATGGAGATTTATTATATTTATTTAATCTTTCTATTTATTTTTTTCTTTTCTTTTTAAGGGGAATGGGTGTCGTCTCTCTCATTACGATTGTGTTTATTATGTAATCCCCATGTGCCAGCGCCAGACAAGGCAATAACTCTCTTATCACTAAATTTATTGTACTTTCTTGGGTATTTGTAGCTGTTTCCAGCCATATATAGACACGTGCACGAGTCTGAACCTTGTATCTGTCAAATTATTGAACGGCTATTAAATTGATACGAACAACTAAAACGGTTTGTCCCCACCAAAGTGGCATCAAAAAAGCGATAAAGCAATAATCTGGAAAGTAAAAATCTACTATAATCAAGGTTGAGTAATTAATTCCTAAAAGGAGATGATGAAAGGATTATTTGGTCAAGTATTAAACACTTGGATGTGATAAAAAGCCTAGTGACGCATTTCAAATAAAATAGCATAGAATCAAATTCGACTTTTTCTTCAACTTTGATTTACCATCTGTCGGTTGGAACATATTCATTCACTTAATATTTTTTGTCGTAAAACTTAAAGCATTACACATTATGATTACATATGTTAGAAAATTTAGCTCTACCTTAAAATATTTTTGCTGGTGTGTGTCGGTTTGTTTTCAAATTTTGGGTTTAGGAATATCTTCTCTTCCTTAGAGTAGCTTGATTTTAAGATGGATGAACGTGAAACATATGTTTAATGTGTACCACCCCTCAAGCCATTGTTCAACTATCCACCAACTCAACGTAATATTGTAGTTCTACTCTATCTTAAGGTTCTTGATTCGAACCACGAGGAAACTCTGCCAAGCATGTTTTTTTGTCTTCTTCAAGTTTCGTTTTAAACACAAGGTCTCCAAATCCTGAAGTTATCTTCACAGCTTTTGATATAGTATTCCGTGATAGTGGCTTTCTATAAAACACCTTCTCCTCAAACTGTCTTCGCAACAGTCCATATATCAAGGAGATGCTCGCCATTTTTTTCTTTTGCTTATCATTCACTAATATCATTAACTAATAGAATAATCACAAAATTTTATGACTAGAACTTCTAACTTCTTCGTCTCTGAGTAGTTTCCCCATTCAAAATGGTCATTTGATTCCTTTGGATGGCTTCGTTTCTTTACTAAGGATAATTATAATTTTTTTTCCTTCCAATAACTGATTACTATGATAATTATTATTATACCTCCAGAAAACACATAAGATGGAGTATACAGAATTTCGTAATTACTATTGTCAAAAAATCTTGACATTTCGTAATTATTAGGTTATCTCCAAGAGGCAGAGCGCTTATTATACATACAAAAATGATAGTTTCGAAAACAGAAGAAGAATTGATTAAAAAAATGATGCCAAGAACCCCATAAACACTAACCATAACAAATTGTATTTTGTTATGGTAGAAGAACTTTTACGACCCTTAACCAGATTGTCATCATCATCACTCTCAATATCTTTAGGATGGTCAAAATTGGCGGGAACTATAGTGTCTGGAGCAACTTCATCATCACCGGATTGAGATGATCTGTCGGGTCCAGGGGCAGTCTCATCATCTTCATCTGGTGATGATAAAGCAGCAGGTAGGCCTTGACCATGTGTTACATTTATCTTAAAATGCTGTCCGAATTTACACTGATCACCATCATAATTTCCTGAGAAGAAATAGTTGAAACCTTCTTTAACAAGAGGAACATATACTGAGACCGGAACTGGAGATGTTGCTGAAGGATTAGCAGCCGACCACTCTGTTGTACTATTGTCTTCACCATTGTTGTAATCACATTCTTTGTACGTTTTGAAATCATATGTCTGCACCACCGAATGGTTGCTATCTGTGTTGAAAACTACATTGAACAACAACAACAACACAAAGACGTTTATGTTGATGATTCAATCTGAAATAATTTTTGAATTAATCTAAACATAGCAAAAACAAAAAAAAAAACCGATTCATACATTTTGCTAAAATACTGTAATTTTTTTCTGTATATAAAAAACAGAAACTAAAACGACGCAGAAGAAGAATCTTTAAACATAATTTATTTTCTTTGACCAAAAGAAAAGACATAATTTATTTTGTTTATAAGTTTCTCACACTTCAATAGATAGAACAAATCGATTTTTTTATATTTAAGTTTGTTATTAAGGATTCGTTATATGCTTTTCCAAACTAAAAAAAAAAAATCTATGATATTGAACTTACTGAGGAAATCACCCAAGGAAAAGGATTTGGAATCGGCCCATTTCTGATAATTTGCAGAGGGTCTCTCCTGAATACTGAACCATCCTGTGGACTCTCCCACAGTGTAGTTCTTGTACGCAGCGGCCGACAGACTCAGAAGCATAGGGCACAAGAGAAACACAAGACAAGATGAAGAAGATCTCATGCTGCACAACATATCTAACAACTCTCTCTTCCTTTCTTTATCTTTCTTGTTTATATAGATTTCTCTTTATTGATCTTTCTTTGCTATAGTATAAAGGAAATGATAGGACCCCCCAAGTACATAAAGTAATGAGCTCGTCATTGCATAATACTAAGACATGTGTGGCATGTGGACAAGAGTCTTGATGTTTGGGATATATGAAGGAACATGAGGCGACGCAAGCTGGTCGGTCCAATCATATGCGAACGCCTCCTCCTCCTCCTCCTCCCCACGTGATTTCTCACCTCACTTTTGCTGTCTTCGCTTCCCTACAACACTCCTTTCAAAAAAAAAATCTGCCAACTGTCTTTTCTAGTAAATGGAATTTTAGATAACGTGTTTGTGTAGTGCTTTAAAGTTTAGGACATTGCAATGCGTTAGAAAAATAACAAAACCATTTTTTCAATTTTTTTTCTTGAATATGATAATGGGTTCGATTATTCGAATAAATCTTTTTTCTGTGTTGTATAATTTCTACTTTTTTTTTTTCAAATAACGCAGCACAATGTTCTTGGCAAAGAATGAAAAAGGTGATTTTTGCTTTTCGGCCATCGCAAATGGACAACGTAAAAGGCCCAAGGCGGCCCATATATCATAATTAAGTTAATCGTTTCAGTCACGCTGTCAAAACCTCCGTCGTCTTTCTCCACCATGGAAGGTGTGGCTATGAAACTCCCGTCTTTTAAATCTCTCGCCCCTAATGCTATCTCCTTCGCCGTCGGTCATCGGAGCTTCACCCGCGTCCGTCGCTCTTTTTCGCTATCCGTCTGTTCTGTCGCTTCTTCCTCCGCCACCATCGCCGCCGATTCCGAACCCGTCTCTCTCGGCCGTCGCGCTCGTAAAGATTTCAGAATTCTACATCAGGTAATTATCCTCTTTCCCTGATCCCCTAACCTTATTAACTTTCGAACATCACTGCATATTACTGTGTTCTTATCGAATCCGCATGGACTGGGAATAGTGCTAGTTTTTACTGAAGTAACACCATTTACAATTGAATTGAGTTGCAGGAAGTGAATGGCTCTAAGCTTGTGTACTTGGATAGTGCTGCAACTTCTCAGAAGCCTGCAGCTGTCTTGGACGCTTTACAGAATTACTATGAGTTCTATAATTCAAACGTTCATCGAGGAATCCACTATTTAAGGTGCTTTTAATTTTCTCTGTTAACGAGTATCAGGATTTGATCATTTGATTGATAAAGGTTCTTGGCCGTTTTCTGTTGACTGATTGTAGTGCCAAAGCTACAGATGAATTTGAGCTGGCTAGGAAAAAAGTTGCTCGTTTCATCAATGCTTCAGATAGTAGAGAGATTGTTTTCACAAGGAATGCAACTGAAGCCATTAATCTTGTAGCTTATTCATGGGGGCTTTCAAACCTCAAACCAGGAGACGAGGTTTGTGCCCTTGATTTCTCAATCCATCTACTTTTTTATTAGGCGAAATATCTTGGTATCTATGCTTTACACAAATGTGAGATTCTTCCATAATCTTGTCTTACGTAGGAAGAAAAATGAAAACTTAAAATGAAAAAAAAAATGCTAAACTTTGAACCCGAAGATTGATTTGAACGGAACAGAACGGAATCTCATACTGCTAGGACCGAATATAGTTACTACTCCACAGTTATTGAATTTAGAAGTGCTGTTTTCTGATGTCTTAATTTAGATCTACGGCGATGCCTAAAGTCTGAGAATTGGGGAACAATGTGGCTGCATTGTTTTCTGCACACCTAAAGTCATTAATTTCACTCTAAATCTCTTCTTTTATTCTTCTCTTACCTATAGCAACTGAGATTTTGAACGATGCTAGCTTTTCAGGTTATACTTACAGTGGCCGAACATCATAGTTGCATTGTTCCTTGGCAAATAGTATCTCAAAAGACTGGAGCAGTTCTAAAGTTTGTGACGTTGAATGAAGATGAAGTCCCAGACATGGACATGTTGAGAGAAATGCTTTCTCAAAAGACTAAACTCGTGGCTGTTCATCATGTATCAAATGTTCTTGGTAGACTCCTTTTTTCGTGTTCTCATCAAAATAATCCGTTTATGCCGGATTAGGTTAGTATCTAACTTTTTTCTTTGTGTTTAGCATCTTCTCTCCCTATTGAAGACATTGTTGTCTGGGCACATGATGTTGGTGCAAAAGTTCTTGTGGATGCTTGTCAAAGTGTTCCTCACATGGTGGTTGATGTCCAGAAGCTAAATGCTGATTTCTTAGTTGCGTCTTCTCACAAGGTTGGAATTGTTTACTTTTCTTCCTGGGATACATGAAAAGCCTTGTGGCAAGCTTATAGTTTAAAAAATGATAATCATGCTTCAGATGTGTGGACCTACAGGCATTGGGTTCTTATATGGTAAGAGTGATCTTCTACATGAAATGCCTCCATTCTTAGGTAAGGTGGCTATCATATATATTTCAATGGGACTTTATCTGTTCAATCAAGAATGGTGCTGGACTGAGTCTCAAATCTATTTTTCATTTTGTTTGTAGGTGGCGGAGAAATGATCTCAGATGTATTTCTTGATCATTCAACGTATGCAGAACCTCCATCCAGGTTGGGATTCGACTTATACCAGTTACTAATTCACATATTTGCTGCAGTTTGGAAATAAGTTGATATCAATCTTGTACCAGATTTGAAGCTGGAACACCTGCGATAGGTGAAGCAATTGCCCTTGGAGCAGCATGTGATTACTTGTCAGGAATTGGCATGCCGAAAATCCATGAATATGAGGTTTGACATAATTTTCTTACTACTATCAATGACCCTAGTGGAATACTATACACACTGTATTTTCCAGTCACTGAAGCATGGTCAGACAGACGGACTTTTTTTTTACTCTCTGAAAACTACTATAAGATGTTTTTGATTTCACATGTTCTCTTTCTGACTAGAATTTATAATTTCTTATGTCGGACAGGTAGAGCTTTCGAAGTATTTGTACGAGAAACTGTCTTCACTGCCTGATGTCCGGATATACGGCCCCAGGCCTTCTGAGAGTGTTTGCAGGGCTGCTCTATGTTCCTTCAATGTGGAGGGCTTGCACCCAACTGATTTGGCAACCTTTCTTGATCAACAGGTATGTTAGGACTAGGAAATATCTGTCCCACAACATGCTGGTTTTTCTCTTATCATCAATGGATATTTATTCTCTGGATAAGAGGTAGTGCCTCCAGAAGGATAAAGGCATGACCAACTTACCTCTCAGATGAACGATATCATCTGGCATATCTTCGTAATACCTACTTACCTTTATTCTATTGTATGTGTTGCAGCATGGAGTTGCGATAAGGTCAGGGCACCACTGCGCACAGCCACTCCACCGGTATCTTGGAGTGAATGCAAGTGCGCGCGCCAGCCTCTACTTTTACAACACGAAGGAGGAGGTTGACTCCTTCATCGTTGCGCTTGCCGACACTGTGAGCTTCTTCAATTCTTTCAAATAAAGTGGAGTAAACCTTCCTGCTAGATCTCTCTCTCTCTCTCTCTCGGCTTGTTGTATGATATATATTTGCCTTTGAAGGCTATTTTATTTAAATCTGTCATATATGATCAATGGGAGAGGATGTTTGTTCTTCAAGTCCCAAAAGGGCTACTGTATTGTAGTTAGCACTTCGTAAGCTTTTTACTAAAAAAGCATTGACTAATAGGATGTATTGATGTAATCCAATGGCAGAGACGTTCTCTATCAACAACTTTCTGGTGGTATTGTAGAAACTACACAATAGAGAGATTTGAAAAAAGACATAAATATCCTTTTAGTCTACATTTATCTCTTCAAGTATCCTCGCGGTCTTTTGATGTTCTGGTTTCGACTCTTTTGAATTGAGAAATTAAATGTCTAACCAGAAAAGAGAAGCAGTAATTCGATGTCGTCAACTACTCCCTCTCTAGTCGCTATAGCAGTAGCATCATCATTCAACTTCCCCAACTAAAATTTCTGCAGAAGAAAAACAATCTCCAAAGAAAATGGCCATGAGCAGAGTCGCGAAGCTCTTCGTCGTCTTTGCGATCTATTGCGCGCTCGATCCCTTCAATCACAGCTCCATCTCCAAGTTCCCGGACTTCAAGACTTACAAGATCGACATGCCGCCTTTATCGGCGCTTCCCAAGGAGAGAGACCGCGACAATCTCCTGCAGAATTCGGAGATCAGGTTCTTAAACGAGGTTCAGGGTCCCGAGAGCATTGCTTTCGATCCTCTTGGACGCGGTCCGTACACCGGCGTCGCCGACGGTCGTATTCTCTTCTGGAATGGCACTCGCTGGACCGATTTCGCTTACACTTCCAATAACCGGTGAGTTCAAATTGCAAATCGAAATGAAATGGTAGAGTTGTTAAGAATGTCTCTCTAAGTAAAGTAAGGTCTTTTTTGAAATGGTGTCTCATGTTAATGTGTGTTAGGTCAGAACTGTGTGATACAAAGCCGTCACTGTTGGATTACTTGAAGGATGAACACATCTGTGGTCGGCCTTTGGGTCTTCGGTTCGACAAGAGAACTGGGGATTTGTACATTGCAGATGCGTATTTCGGGATTATGAAAGTCGGCCCTGAAGGAGGTTTGGCCACTTCTCTTACAACCGAAGCAGATGGAGTCCCTTTGAGATTCACCAATGATCTTGACGTTGATGACCAAGGGAATGTCTACTTCACTGATAGCAGCTCTGTTTTCCAACGGAGGTACCTTATCGGTTCTTCTTCTACTCCTTTGAAATGTGTTTTCTTTTTCTTCTTCTTCTCTTGTGCTACTGAGGGACTCAAGTTCCTGCCGTTTAAAAAGTTTTCATCTTTACTCTCTTACTACTTTAAACTGGTGTTTGCTTCATCATGCTTAGCTTATTCACTAATGTGCAACTCTGTAATCAGAGACTTTGATGATGAATTATGTTATCTATTGAGAATCTATATATAAGAAGTTCCGATGAGCTTTTGATGCTCTTGTGTTTAAACAAATTGTGCCCTTTTTGTTGTGGGTACAATGATTGGCGCTACTTTTGAATTTCATGTTTTTTTTACCCTTTCAGGAAATTCATGCTTTTGATTGTCTCGGGGGAAGACAGCGGGAGGGTGTTGAAATACAATCCAGTAACAAAGGAGACTAGTACTCTCTTGAGAAACCTCCAGTTTCCGAATGGCTTATCACTTGGCAAAGACGGCTCCTTTTTCATCTTTTGTGAAGGATCAATTGGGAGGTGAGTCCTTCATCTTAATCCCTCGGTGACTCCATCTTAGCAAACAAGTATCATTTGATACTTCCACATCATTGTCTTCCACAACAAGTCCTCTTATTTTTGGTCATCCAGATTACGGAAGTACTGGCTGAAAGGGGAAAAAGCTGGAACATCAGAAGTGGTAGCTCTACTACATGGGTTCCCAGATAATATCCGAACAAACAAAGACGGGGATTTCTGGGTGGCGATCCACTGTCACCGCAACATATTCACACACGTGATGGCGCATCATCCGATTGTGAGGAGGTTCTTTCTGAAGCTGCCGATAACAGTCAAGTTCCAGTACTTGCTGCAGGTAGGTGGTTGGCCACATGCTGTGGCTGTGAAGTATAGTGAAGAAGGGAAAGTGCTCAAAGTGTTGGAGGATAAGCAAGGGAAAGTAGTCAAGGCAGTGAGTGAAGTGGAGGAGAAAGATGGGAAGCTTTGGATGGGAAGTGTATTGATGTCTTTCATTGCAGTATATGACTTGCCTTAATTAGTGTGATCAGCTTTATGATTTTGTTGATTTCTACTTGGGACACGGTATTGCAAGCTTCTCTTACTTACTATATCCAACTCTGTCTTTGCTGCAAACAATCAATAATCAAATACTATACAACAGTATGTCTTCGATGTAAAGAAAAACAATTGTCATGTTTCCGTTAAAACACGCACAAGTTTTCTAGCTAGATCACCGATTTTTTTTTTTCTCCATCGAGAAGTTTCTTTTTGAATATACACTAGTTGGATAGCATCACCACCCTTTGCTGGATCACCTGTTTTTGCTTACTAATTTATGTCTGCTTAAAACTATTTTTTGACATTTTTCTCGCAAAGCATGAAGTGGACAGCAGAAAAAAATCAATTCGATATACAAAAGTAAAGTATCCTTTTGTTTCTATGGTGTATACTCGTAAAAAAAATAACCGTCAAGAAAACAGAAAAGAAAAACCCTAATAAAAATGAAGAGTAACGAAAAGAAAAACATAATAATGAAGGAAGAAAAAAATGCGGTGAAAAAAGGGAAAGAAAAGGAAACATCAAAGTGTGTGGACAAGACCCGTCAGAGGCACAAACAGCCAAAGACATCCAAAGACCCCAACTAACATGATTTGACGTTTCAGATTCTGTTTTTCTTTTGGACCTTTCATTAAAAATCTCATTGCTCCCTCCCTCCTACATTTTTTTTTATATATATGTCATTCTATTATTATATGCAAATTTTTATTTTCTTTTCCTTTTCTAAAATGTATGTATATATGTGTGTGCATGGACGACGATGGAAGGTGTACGTAAGTGTCTCTAATACTGTTGCACACACTGGAAAGGGCCCACGCATTTCTAACCTTCGTCGCGAAATGTATCGATCGGGTGATGTAGAAGGTGATACAATCTAGAGAGAGAGATAGTCTTTATTAAACATAGCCACAAGCACTGTTCTTGTTCATTTTGGACAATAGAAAATGAATGTTATAACTAAAACGTAGACTTAATAGCAAACTGATGTCGACGTGGAAACTATAGTGATTTTTCCAAAGTGGCATTCTTTTAGCAAAAGGTGACCACAACTACTCAAAATATTGATAGGTGTACTTTTATAAATGGTATACTACATTAAATTATTTTCTTAAAAAGAGACAAGGATTTTGTTAATTGTTGTAATGGAATTCGGTAGCGATGAATGAAAGGAGTTCACATGGGATTTTTTTTCCTCATTCGATACGTTATCATGAATTATTATATGTTGACCACATACTACTACAAATATATGCGTTGACAAAGTCGCACCATTTTCTTTTTTTTCATACAAAAATTTGTCAGCTATTGAATTATCAATAACGATCGAAAATCAATCTTACCATAAAAATTAATCAGTCTTATCCGTGCAACGATTCGAAATCAAAGTTTTAATGCTGCCACTGAGTGACCTTATAAAATAGTGATCCGATCAGCAACATAAAAGTGTGACTCTTTTTAATCATGATATATATTCAACCGGATTGTGAGTTTTAATTGTGGCTGACAAAGAGATGTGACGAGCATTGATTTCTCATCAAATTGTTTTTTTTTTTAATTTTTTTTTAAAACTACCAAGTGCACTATTCATTGGGAGCCTTTGCTTTTTGTAAAGAATGTTTTTGGAATGAGTGATTTTCAGAATTATCTCAGCACCATAAAAGTTACCATATCACATCCCAAGATGGAATGTATCTTTTCTTACCCACTCTATGTATATGCTACTGTACATGGGCTTGTATATATGTAGATCTTTATATATATATAAGTCCAAACTCCTTTCATTAATTATATTATTAATTTGTTTTCTTGATAAAACTCCTTTTATTTGTATTCAAATTCTATATATTAATTGAGAGTTGATAAATCGAATTCTCCACACGTTTAAGCCTATGTCTTTGTAATTACAACTGCTATAAACTACTTATTATATAAAATCGTGACCACACAAAAAGCTACACCTTTTCAGAACGAGGAAAGAGGAAATTTATATTACAATCTTCGTAAAGGAGATTCTTCCTTAGGTAATTATGTTCGAATGTGTAAACCATATATGGACTTCACTTATTAGGAGAATATAAATCTAGAAACGAAGTTATAGATGGAGCCCACACAAGAAAAAGAAAGGGACATACATACATGTATATATATATGTAAGGTTATGATCTTCTTCTTCCTCGCCTTCTCTTTCATCACCAGCTCTGCTTAGACATTTATAAACGCGGACGTACAAAGATAAACATAAAGATACACAGGCATATATATAATAGCCATTATTATCAGTATGAAAAAGGCTTTAGTAATAGCCATTAGACTTTTGGCCTGCAACTGTCTGGTCTAATTGCTTGCCTTTCTTGTTGCCATCCAGCTTTAATCCAAAGTGAATGTGAGGAAAATGTGCCCACTACACACACAAAAAAGGCAAAATTAATTTATAAAAATATACTGTCATAAGCATTCCACCAATTGAGCATAGTAGAATCCACTATCTTATTGGTATATACACTTATGTTTCAAAAAAAAATCATCTTAGCTCACGACGGAGAAAGAGATCAAACCCTAAGATTTTCCCACCACAGCTATTATAATTACCTTATGACAGCTCTAAGAAAAAAAAAATTTATTAGAAATAATAGAAGATTTTATCCAATCATATGTTTGTAATCAGTTTTCTGAACAAAATATTTGTATTGGTTATTTCAAAGATAATATTTTTATAATAAAATGATTAAGAACTAAATTTTACGAAGCTTTGTATTAGAAAATAACACGATATTAAAGAAGTTTTTCTATCTTAGTTACAGTTTATATATTTTGTTTTATTTGCATCTTCTTTTATTCGAACCTACAAATAAAACGTACGTCGTCGTCGATAGTATTATATATTTTATTTTATTTTGAGCTATTTATCTGTAGTAGATTAATGACTTCATATATTTGTGAAAGAATTAATGATAAAGAAGGAAGCTTACATTTTTAGCAGCTGTGCTGAACGCCTCACGGTGGCTGATCTCAGGATTGCCAGCCTTGATCCTTTGGATTTCCTCTCTAATATATTTGGAATAATTAAAGGGTTATTAAAATTGTGGTGAATGATTTGAGAAAATTCCATCAATCAAAAGAGAAATTCTAAAAGTTGGAATTAACACTTACTTGATGAATCTGTTGTACGCCGAAGGAACGCGTTGTCTTTTCTCTGGCGCTGCCATGAACATAATAAAATTATATGGACTCATTTATTAGCTAGCTAGGCCACTGAATATTTATACTTCAAATACTTGTGTATTAAATGTGAGAGGAATGAGCGACTTACGACGAATAGGAGGCATTCTAGGAGCCTGATCTCGATCGACATTTTCGGACAATGTGGTTGAAAAATGGTTGGAGCTCCTTGAAGATGATCCAAAATCTTTCCTTGTTACCGGAGAGGTTATGTGTTGCTTATGCTGCTTCATGATTGCGAAGACTATATCAGCCATAATTTCTACATGGTAACCAAAAAAAGGTTGATGCTAATCTTAATGATTATTATATGATACCTGAAGATCTTGATGTATGGGAGGAGCTGAGGTTTGATGAAGTGAAACTCCGATGTTGAGAGAGAGCAAATTGGTACAATGGCCACATCTCACCGTCACAAGTGTAAACAAACTTGCGTATGGTACACTTACCTGATCATATATATTTTTATATCTCTTAAATCAAATACGTACGGACAGCTTATTGTCTTGTTTACCACTATTCTGTAATTCGATTGGCTGGTTAGACCATCTCTAATGTAATAGGGTAGAACTTAATTAAATTGTGCATGCAATAATTGATGAGACCGCTTGAGATAGTACGTGCGTTAACTATTCTATTCTAGTATTAAATAGTGCCTTGATTTGACAAAAGTATCCAACTAATGTTTTCCAGAATAATAGGTTTTCTTTGTTGAATTACAAATAGATTGGTCAGAGAAATTAATGTTCATAAAAGACGTGAGGGTGAATATGTAGCGTTTATTTCAATATTAATCAGTATTTAACAAAAAAATAAATTTAATTTGTAGTTTCATTAGTCATTCGTAGATATATAAAAACATATATGCGTGGTCTAATGTCTATAAATTATAAAAGTTGTGCATAATACCTTTTAAAATGAAACATTTGTTTTGTGTTTATATAGAAGGAAATCAGATGATAAAATAATTTCTTTCGTAGAAGTATTTTGAAGTTTAAAACTCTCTTATCATGTTCCAAAACATTGAACATTGTCATGCATCTACTACATTCTTTAAATTAATAGTGGGGAAAACATTGTGGTAAAGAGTAACTTAATCATCTATATATATAGATATATATGAGTGGATATATATAGACGAGAAGGGTGTATTTTTGTGTATGGTGGGTTCTGATGACTAATATGTCTGACACACAAGCCTCAAGGCAACATGATAAAAGATAGTAAAGAGATGAAGAATGGTTGATGAAGCTTGTAAGGAGAAGACAGTCATGTTAGAAAACGACGTGACCTTAACCACAGCCCATAAAGTCCTTAACACAATATGTGATGGTACCATCTTAAATTATCATCTTCTTTTATTTTTGTGTATGTATCCAATCCGAAGTGGTCAAGATCGGCCACGATTTAACAGTTTGCAGCTTTTGAATAGATCAAGAAATTGTTGCTCGAACTGGGTAGAACAAATTTTCTGTCCTTTCCAATACAATACCACCCCTATTTTGTGCAAGACGAACTTCACCATTTTTCTAAAATGTGGCCACTTTTGCCCCTAATCATATTCATGCTACATCTCCACTATTTATTTATATTTATAGTATAACGTTTACAAATAATAAATCTAAAAGAGTTTCTCGTGATTTTTTTTTTAAAACCGTTTACAACTCAGAAACTACCAACTCTAGTAGAAACTATCTGACTAATAAGATCAGTGATTTGTATATATGTTATACATATGGATAGGTGTATACACACACACATCAAATATATGGGTATTATTAAATAGTCACATAAAACCGTTAAATAGTTAACAGTATTATAGTAAAAATTAAATAAAATTTTGAAACTATTATATACATATAATAAAAGCGTCGCCTCACTGTGTAGAGAAAAAAAATTGGAAAACCAGAAAATGATATTTAAAATTATCGACTGGTGATGTGATGTAAACATTGTTTACATGGACCACGCTTTGTAGATCAAAGATCTATGATTGATATGATATATGTATACATGTGTCACATACTACAGTTATATATATCAAAAGATAATATGAAGTCAGACTATAAAGCTGGAAAACTTAGTGAAAGTTTTTGAGCCTTGTATCACATGGATGTAGGCAGCAACGCTCTATCAACCAATTCCTTTTAATGGAAATATTGTTAACGGGGATTGAAACTACGGGAATTTTGAGTAATATTTAAGAAAATGAAGGATTACTGAAATACCAAAAAAAAATATGTCTATCAAAACGACAAAAAATAGAAACCTTCAAGAAAATTGTGAAATTAGGGAAAGAAGATGCTTTTATTGTAGAGTTTAAACCTACTCTATAGAGCCCTAAATCTGATCAGGAGCTGTTTTCTTTGGTTTGCGCACTAAAATTTATGGTTCAGTTACCGAAATTCTTCTTCTTCTCTTGGTATCTCATCACGCGTTTAGAGTAAAAAAAAATTAGGGTTTCTGTTATTTTCTCAGATTAAGAAACTTTCCACTATATATTTTCATCAGTAATCACAGGAAAAAGTACGTTGATCCATGACCCAGATGTAAAATTCATCATGAAATATATATGTATATATCACCGATTAAGTTCGATAGAAAGATAATATATCTGATTGAACTACTGTTTGAATTAAGTTAGAAAAAGGAGATCTAGCGCTCTGAGTAAATACGGAACACTCTTTTCTTTTAAGAAAGATTATCATTTTAATGGAAAGAAATAGAGAAAGAGAGCGAGGTTACCGCTAAAATCGTTGTGCAGAAGTTGCAGTGGACATAGCAAACGCGCTCAGATGATAAATCAATAGACATTTTTGTGTGGGTTGATCTCTTCAGTAATGATATCTCTCTTCTTGTTAGTTATACCAATGAGATCAAAGAAGGAACTATTTGATTTTGGGAAGAATAAACTGAAGAAAAGGCAAGCAAAGAAGAGAGAAAGAAGGATAAAGAGAGAAAGAGAGAGAGAGAGAGATGGGTGGAGGAAGTGTACAAAAAATCTGAAAAGACTAATGGGGTTTGTTTGGAGATGAAGAGAGACAAGTGGGGACTATACTACAATGTTCTCTTTTTTTCTTTTCTTTTCTTTTTTCCTTACAGTTAATTGAGAGTATACTAAGACATATGTATATTAAGATTAGTCTTATCAACAAATGAGTTATATTCAAAGTTTCTATAGCGTACGAAAAAATTGTTTATCTATATATAGCACAGATGTGATAGTTGGAGTTTATGAGAGGATATGTGAGTCAAAGAAATGTAATACCCTATATTTAAATTGATAAACTTTTTTTGATCCATCAATCACCAAGTGAAAGTGTCCGTTAGTATATGACATCATGATAGTCGTAGTTTATGAAAGATATGTAAGTCAACGAAATGTATTCATTTAAATTGATAATTTTTTGTGACGATTGTTTCACCAGCTGAAGGTGTATAAATTAAAAAAAAATTCCACAACATTTATCATTTATAGAAAATATATATGATAATTGTTTTACACGATAATTCTTCCTTTCTAACTTTTTTATAAAGAAAAATATTTGCCAAATAAAACTCTAATCTTAAACTTTTTCATGTGACGACAGAAGTTTTTTTTTGTTATCTGATTTTTGTAAAAAGGATTAATTATACTATCACACCAAATAAGATCAATTTCTAGACAAATGATTCATTCATACATATGCTGGCTCAATATTTGCTACCCGTTACAAATGAGTGAATGTACAACGAATTACTCGTTGAATAGTATTTGGAACCAATCTAAACTATAATTCTTACATTGATTCTTATAAACTGTTCTCTAAAACATTTGAGAGACGGGAAAAAAAAGTCTAAATAATTCTCCTTTCGATGGCTTTAGTTTCTGTAATTATATTTCGTGATCATAACCTGACATATCCCCACGAATTCGACATGCATTGTTTAAGAAATCGCCATTTTCGACAACTATCCATAGATAGATGTCTTTTGATTAATAAAGTATTCCGTCAAATAATTTCGTGCAGTCTTAGCCTACCTATTTGTTCAAACTACCCATGTTTTGTTTTATGCATATATATTTTTTTTGTCACTTTAATTTCCCTAAATAGTTTAAGATTTCGAGTGTGCAGTAGAGCAAACATCATACAAATTGGGTTGACCTGATTGATTTGGAGTGGCAGAAAGGCCTAAAACCTGTGACCTCAGTTTTATATGTATAAAAGTGGTTCTTCTTTAGCCATTTATGTTATAAAAAAAAAGTGGCAACACAACGAGGAACCAAATAAACCAATTTCGTTCGACACATCTTCAAGTTCCTCTAAGAAATGGAACAAATTCCGAGTGGTATCTTTTGATTGATTCCACAGCTTCAACAGCAATGGCTTCTTCTTCAGGATAATAAGCTATAGGATCAGATAGATGCGGTTCCGGAATCTTCAAGACGCCTTCGAGCATGGCGTGGAGGCAGTAGGCTGCATATGTTACATGATACCCACCTTCTTGCACCATAAGCAACCTTCCATGGCTGTGCTCCTCTGCCACTCCCCTCATTATCTGCCCAATCTTTCGAAATCCATTCATCGTCAGGCTTTGTCTCCCGTTTGGATCAAACTGCAGATCCCACAGTAAAGAGTGTGAGTCCATGACATTTCTAATCACCCCGCAACCTAGACATCAGCATCGCCACCACATGTTTAAAGCCAAACCAATCGTTTTAAGCTCAAGAACTTTAAAGGGTATTTTCCTGTGAACCAGACAATAACCAAGGACCAACCAACTTCTTATCACAGCAGAGCCATTTGGAGCAGCGTACATAAGCTATTTACCCGTAATTGTGAGCAAAACTCTTGCAGAAATTGCTCGGCCAGATATATCTAGTCCGGATAGAACTTACATGAACCAATAAAAACAATACCAAACTGTGATCAATGAAGTTCCTAATGGATCACTGAAAAAGCCGACTCTTGGTATATGGTCAGCTCAAATAACCACATAAAGAAACAAACACACTTGCCATAGAGCTTAATTAAACTGCAAAGAGGATTCACTTAGATAGTCGAGTACTAAATAACTTACAGCGCTGGAGTCTTGACCAACAACAAGAACAACCATATCGGGTCCAAACCTTGAAACTGCAGGAACCACCAGCTCAGTCATGGCATATTCATAACCCCGATCACCTGTCCCATTAGGTAAAGGGACATTCAGGTTATAACCCAACCCCACGCCTTCACCAAGTTCATCAATAGACCCTTTCTGTGGGTGAGACGAGCCCCAAGACCCATGGTTCATATGTAGAGACACCGTAAGAACCTTGTCAGAGCTGTAAAACCCTTGAGCTGTGCCATTTCCGTAGTGCACATCGATGTCAATAACCGCAACTCGGGAACAAGAATCCGAATTCAGTGCCAGCTTCACCGCAAGAGCCGCGTTGTTGAGGAAGCAGTAGCCATCGGCTTGAGAAGGCTGTGAGTGGTGGCCTGGTGGGCGTACCAGAGCATATGCAATTTTCCCATAGCTGTCAAGAATGTGTTGCATAGCTGAAAGAGCAGTTCCAGCTGCAAGAAGAGCAGCTTCCCACGAGCCTGGCCTCATGAAAGTACCTGCGGCGATTTCACGCCTTTCTCCTGATTTATCTGCCTCCATTAGTTTGTTAACGTATTCTGTAGAGCAAAGCAAAGATCAAAGTGGGATTTATCGAAAAGATGCCAAATTGAGAAACAGATTCCCGTAAAGGCCATTCCTTTCTGCCCTAATTCGAACCTTTAGATTGACAATCTACCTGAAGAGTGAAACGTAAGAAGCTCCGATACGATTGCGGGACGACCGGGAAACCAATTGACATGGGGAGAGATGGGACCACGTTGGAGAATCGAAACCATGTTCCTGATGCGGTCGGAGTTCTCCGGGTGTTTCTCCAGCACGTCTAGGAATCCTGGGTCGAGCCCGGTGTCGAAGACGCCTTCAACGGCGTCGTGTCGGAGCATTCCTTCGTGCCAGAAGACGTCTACGCCACCGAAGGCGGAGGAGCTGAGCATAATGGAGGATGGAGTTAGCTAAAGGACACTGTATCGTCGTCGTGAACTTAGAAAGTATGTGGAAACGGGGAAAGATTTGGACATAGGAGAAATTTCGTCTGCATTGAGCTGAATTGAAGAAGATGCTGACTTGGCATATTGTTGTTATATTATTGGTTACGGCTTAAACGGGCTTAAATGGGCTTAAACGGGCTTAAACGGGACAACAAAACGGGTCCATAACTTAAAACGAAGTTAAACGGGCAGAGTCTAGACATGTCGGTCTAGTTCGTATTAACATTAGTAGTATGAAACATGTTTGTATTCGGGAAAGTCGTGAAACTGAATTAGTAAAAGATAATGGAACTTGATTATCAGTTTTTTGGTATGAGCAATAGTCCTGGTAGGTGGAAAGTTTTTGGGAAAAGAGAATTTCGTCTTCATTGGGCTGGAGTCTGGACTGAAGAATGAGATACTGACATGGCATATTACTATTGGTTGGGATTTTAGGATTTTAGTATCCACGTAGACGGTATACACTCTTCATAAGAGAAAACATTTCCTTTTAGAATTTTTGCATTACGTATATGTTTTTGAATAGAAATATCATTATGTATCATGAACCACACTTTCAAAGTTCGGTTAATATGGTGTATAACTTTAGGAAAGAAAGAAAAAAATATACACAAAATATTAATCGACATAGAGTTTGTCTTTGTTATTAATGAGAACAACTGTTAGTAGAAAAATGATTCAAAGATAGGAGGATTACTGAGTTTAATTAACCAGACCCGTATTATATAAATCATAATGGCGATCGCAGATCAGTGCAAGAAGAAACATAGCAATTGCTGATTTGGGACCATTCTCTACGCAGCAGGGAAAACGACTTTGAACATTCTTCCAGTCCACCATGCGACGACTTGGAAAAAAAAAAAAGCAAAACAAGAAGACTTGAAAGAAGAAGAATCCAGACTTTTAGGGGTAATACTGTAATTTAATCGAACACCAGAGTCAATTCTTCAGTCTGCGTCTTCTTGCTGCTATAAAGCAGAAGCACAATATTCCCTGCCATTGGCAAGTGAGAGATTTATTCTGTGAAAATGGGATTTCCCCAAAACAAGTTCAACTCTTGTTTCTCCTTCTTTTTCCTATTTTCTTTTCTTACTCTTGCCCCCTTAGCTTTCTCCGAGATCTTCTTAGAGGAGCGTTTCGAAGGTGAAGTATCTATAACACTCTTTTACTGTTTCTTTCTCATCTCTGAATTTATTGTTTTTTAGATTTTTACTTATTGAGGATAGTGAAGCCAAACCCATGCCTCAATCAGAATCTTATGGACTTTCCTTTTTTGGTTAATATAACGATAATATGATTCTGGATTTTCCCTCTTCTTTTTTTTTTTTGTTTGCTTTCTATTTATAGATTTCTGCAATTAACTTAGTCAGATGTGTTTAGGTGGATGGAAAAGCAGGTGGGTCTTATCTGATTGGAAAAGAAACGAAGGAAAAGCCGGAACCTTTAAGCACACTGCCGGTAAATGGCCAGGCGATCCTGACGATAAAGGTAATTTCTTTCGCCGGCGCTTAATTTTATACCACATGCATTTACATAGTAAGAGAATCTTATGTTCTGTGATCTCTGCTTTCCTCTTGTTGTCCTGTGATCTTCCTTATGCTGCAGTGTTTTAGTTATATGTTCTTCTCGCTGCATTGAGTTGTGTCTTTTGTTCTGTGGAAAAAGGCTTGGTTCTCTAGTGTATCGGCTTCGATATTTGATGTTGACTTGAGGAAATAGAATGTTTGTTTAGTTAAACTTAGGAATTTTTGCTTTTTAATTTTTTCTTCGTGTGTGTAGGTATTCAGACCTATAATGATGCCAAGCATTATGCGATTTCTGCTAAGATTCCGGAGTTTAGCAACAAAAACCGGACTCTTGTTGTTCAGTACTCAGTCAAAATTGAACAAGACATAGAATGTGGTGGTGCTTACATCAAGCTTCTTTCTGGCTATGTTAACCAGAAGCAGTTTGGTGGTGATACTCCTTACAGGTAATCTTGTGCCTTGTACCTTAATGTCCCTTTTATAAACATCAGTTCCTAGAAGGTTATATTCAGTCTTAGTCAAGCTGCCTAGGGGTTAGTCATATCGTTGTTGTTTTGAGGCCATAGTGGGAAGAACAATGAATGTGTTAATTTAGTTTCTCCCAGGAACTAATGAATGATTGAATAAATGTTCATGCTTTTTACTACAAGGTCCTCACTTGGTGTTGTGTATGGGGATTCTCATTACTGCTTTTTTTTTTCTCTATTGTATGCAGTCTAATGTTTGGACCAGATATATGCGGAACGCAGACAAAGAAGCTCCATGTTATTCTTTCATATCAAGGACAGAATTATCCAATTAAAAAGGATTTGCAATGTGAAACAGACAAACTAACTCATTTTTACACATTTATTCTGCGACCTGACGCTTCTTACAGCGTCCTGGTTGATAATAAAGAGAGAGAATTTGGTAGTATGTACACAGACTGGGACATCCTTCCTCCGAGGAAGATAAAGGTTAAGAACGCAAAGAAGGTAACTATTTGGATGCTTACAAGGTTTCCAAGAGTCTTTCTTAATGCTATTTGAATTGCTTCAAACCAAACATTTGCAAGATTAGATAGTCGTTTCCGGAGATAATTACACTTAGCTTAGCTATTATGACTTAGTTATTACGAGTAAAATGTATTATTGAGCTAATATATGCAATTACAGTACATTCCTTTCGTCTTTACCTTTGATAGATTTTACCAATCTGTTTTTTGCAGCCAGAGGACTGGGATGACAGAGAGTATATTGACGACCCTAACGATGTCAAACCCGAGGTAAGCTTGTGTAATAAACATGGTAGCAATACCGGAAATACTATTTGTATTGATAGGAAGCGACTCAGTTCCCTTGCTTGTAGTTTTAATTCTTTGTTTGATTCAGGCAACTGGTTCTTTCTTTTGTTATCAGGGTTTCGATTCTATTCCGCGCCAAATTCCAGATCCAAAAGCTAAAGAGGTATGTAATGTACTGTTAAATTGAATACTTTTGAGTGATTGTTTTGTAGCTAACTTTAAGTTGTCTCGTGATCCATCATTCTTTCTTCGCTCATTGGTTTTTTTTTGGAACTCATTGGGTTTTGTGATAGTGTTAAGCTTTATGTTTTGTAACTCTCTGTCTCTACTTGTTTAGCCTGAAGACTGGGACGAGGAAGAAAATGGTCTCTGGCAACCACCAAAGATCCCAAATCCTGCCTTTAAAGGTCCTTGGAAAGCAAAGGTGATTGATTTGACAGTCATCAATGGTTATATAGATTATCCAATTCTTTACCATTTGAAATTTGATCAAAACTTTACTTTTCCTACAGAAAATCAAGAACCCGAACTACAAGGGAAAATGGAAGAACCCTTGGATAGATAATCCAGGCATGTTTCTGTCTTTTAAATTTGTGTTTGTGTTTTGGGCTGAATTTCTTCTTGTAAATACTAAGTTGGAGCTTCTGGGGTTTCCTCAGAATTCGAAGATGATCCAGATCTGTATGTTCTGAAGCCCATACGATACGTAGGCATTGAAGTATGGCAGGTAAAGTCCTGATCTTTCTTTGAATTCTGTCCAATATTAACTTTTATAATCACTACATCACCAGATATTGATATACTAGTCAGTGCAAATTTGTGAAATTATAGTCATGCAAATTTCTAGGCTCTAATTTTTGTGATTAACAAAAAAAAAAAAAAAAAAAAGCTCATCTAGTGCAGCTGGATTGAGACCTTGATGTTAATACTGCAGGTGAAGGCTGGTTCAATCTTTGACAATATCTTGATCAGCGATGACCCGCAACATGCAAGAAGCATAGTGGATGACTATTTTGATCAGCACAGGGAGGTAGATTTCCAAGCCTTTAGATATCTTTTTGGATAAAAATCAAACAAGTTTTCGGATTTGACAAGTGTGTAGCATTTTGCAAACGAGAATGTTAGCACGTTTTACAGAATATAGAAAAATGTCTTATACGTAATCTGATATGCTGTATACTCTGCCATACAAACCCAGTCTGAGAAGGAGTTATTTGCGGAAGCTGAGAAAGAAAGAAAAGCCAGAGAAGATGAGGTTTGTAGATTACTAAACAAGTTCTTGTTTGCTTTTCAAATCTTCTCTGTTTATATTAATCACGAGCATGGCCATACAAAACGACGATTACAGGAATCTCGGAAAGCACGAGAAGAAGGAGAACGTAGACGGAAGGAGAGGGACCACCGGTATGGAGACAGGAGGAGACGCTACAAACGGGTACGTACACATTGAGACCAAATCACTTTCTGTTAGTTGATCTCCTTTGTTATTTCTGGGGAAAAAGTTGAGTGAATATGTTCGAAATGGTTTGTTGTGTGTTTGCAGCCCAATCCACGTGATTACATGGATGATTACCATGTAAGCAGCACTTGGTCTCTTCAATTCTTTTTTTTTTTTTGGTTTTTTTTTCAGAGGTTTTTTATGCATTTTGGTACTGAATGATCTTAAATGTTACTAAAAAATGGTTTAAAATCTGTATGATTTGTGAATTTCGTGTAGGACGAGCTGTAAGGCACAGTGGTGGGCATTTGGCAATGACAACCAATAGAGCCAAGTATTTTATGAAACTGAGATTGTAATTTGGTTTTTCTCTGTGACTGTAATTTGTAACCATTGGTACTAGTTATATAATGTAATTTGGCTTGAAAATTGTTACATGTGGTTTAGAGTATTCACAAGCATATTGCCAAAATTTTAAGTCGACTCTACTCTTGAATCTTCTTTCTTTCAAACCACCCGGCCTTAACTCTTTGGCTTCTAAAATTTATTATTTGATCGCTCGTAATACTATCTGAAAAATATCCTCAAGTAGCAAACTAACTAAATTGTTTGATAAAAAAAAATTCAGTTAACTCTACTCTTATATATCACCAAAGATAATCATCAAATTCTTTTAGTGACCAATACTATCTGATATACAGGGTATCAAATTCCGAGAGACCAAAGAGAATGATACTCTTAATTTGCAGGATTTGAGTTTTAATCTAAATTGGGTTTGAGAAAAGAAAAAAAATAAGAGAGAGAGAGTTTTTAGG